TAATATTAACTTTAAGTTGATAGATAAATGTGCATTAAGGAGTTTTACTCGGTATTGAACTGCAGGTGTTTAAAAAAATCATCCAAAATGTTCTTAAAGACAAACCAAGTGTGCGCATCCTTGCCCACGAGCTCTCCACTTAACCTCTCCACTCACAGCGTACTCACATCCTTCGGGAAGTCCAAGTAAAGGAAAAGAGTGGCTATCAGGCAGGCGGCCACGACCACGTTCTGCACGGCGACCACCACCGCGAGTGTCCCTGTGCGCTTTCTCCGGTGGATCACACGACCTCTCTCAGCATCCATCATCCCCTGTTCCATCAGTGCTCTGAGCTCCCTGCAGGAGCTCAGCGAGGCTTTAAACGCGAGTGGGCAAGTGCAAAGGAGGGGAGTGACTGGAAGGAAATCGCTCACGGTCTTAACTTTATTGTGTCTGAGATCGTGTGGGTGGGGGGGTTGCAGCGCGCTCGTGCCATGTACACGCTGGGGATAGACGCACACGCGCACACGCTCACAAAGTGAGAGAGAAGCAGGAGCGAAACCAGCGCACCGTGAGCTGATTGGCTGTCAGTGTGCCGATTTGCGCCAAGACGCTTGCGATCTTCTAACACAAAACGAGCCGAGTGAATCCTCCCACATTGTGTGCGCTTCAATCAATGTTCCCATAATATTCATCAGGGGGTTCTGAGAGGTTTGAGCAAGCTGAGGAAGAAAGAAAAAACATTGTTTCTGGGAAACGAGTGATGCAGTAATCTGGTGTCAGTGATAACACACCTGATTAAACTAAATAAAGTAAAAATATATTTTATTCAGCGTCTGTTTCGGGTCTCCCAGACTTAACTAATGAGCAGAGAAAGGATAGAAACGGCTGCTGCCACCTCTCAGTTCACTTTAAATCTAGTTTATTGCTCTACATGTGAGCAGACAATGGATGATGAAGCTAACAAAGTTTTTAACAGTTTTTTTTTTTTTTGTCATTTTGGGCAAAAGTGTGGGTTTTACTTTGAAATTGACGGAGACACATGTGTGCCTACCCTACCAAATTTGCAAATTTATCTTTGCAAGTCCTACATTTTTACAAATTATTCCACAAATATTACGATTATTATTATTTTCCTAACTAACCCTGGTCTGCACTGGTCTGCCTTTGCTGTGTCTGACGTGCGTGTAATTTCCAATATCGTCCTGAAAAAGTAAAGATTTGATGATGGCCTTATGAAAAAAATAAAACAATGAACAATGCTATTTTTGGTGTATTTAGTATTGTCCATCTCTCTGAGGCCTAAATGATCGAGCACTATTTGAAACACCGAAAGCAGACGAACTGTCTCAATTAGGTTAAATTAGAAGTGGCAACAGTTTCGGGTATTCAGAAAAGTGGTGTGGACGGAGATCCTCAGCATCCTTATCACTGACTTTTGAGATCCACATTAAAGAATTGAATAATAAACGGACTGGTTATTATATAGCGCTTTTCTATTCTCCTCGAGCATTCAAAGTGCTTTATTAAAGCATTTAATAAAATTCACACACGCACCTTTTGCAAAATCTAAGCGCTTTTTATCTAACATTCAAAAATATGAATGCATCACAGAGCAACTTGGGGTTCAGTATATGGCCCATGGATACTTTGGGATGCAGATTGGCGCAGTCAGGGATCGAACCGCCAACCTGCCAATAAGAAAATAACAAACTATCTCCCATCACCCTCCCCGAATGAGAAGACTGATGAAGAAGCTGCTGAATTTGGCATAAAGATTGAGAGAAATGGGAAACATAGCTTGGCGGCGGCGGTGGTTGGTGTGTGTGCGTGCCTTGGCCTCTACAGTGAGGGTATCTTGTAGCTCTTTAGTGCTGTGGGGGACATTTTGCTGAGATGGTTTAGAGTTCAATAGTCTACCAAGAAGTAAAGTTATTCTTAATTAATACAAAATCTTTACCTTAATACTGTCATTAGCGTTTCCTTCCTGATTGGTGTTGGTTTCAGTGACAATAACAATGGCCTTATTTGTAGAGCACAGCTTTCATGAAAAGGATGTGAATCATATGCCATGGCATTTACTAAACTGATCACTAGCAGTTGTTAGAGCGGTAACTTTCTCGCCATATATTTGGATGAATGATGTTGAATCAGTTTCGCACAGATGCATGAACAGTTTCTGAAACACAATAAATGTGTCAAAGCGGGACAACAGTCTATATTGGTTTGCCCTTTGTCACTCTTCTTTAACTTTTTAAGTCTATAAACACTAGGCTCTGCACTTTTTCTATTTAAAATGGCAGGAAGTTTGAAAGCACGTTGTTTAATTCCACTCCTACAGTGAAAGCAGCCACATCCTCTTCCTCGTTCAGCTGACCCCGTCAGGGGTCGCAAGAAGAAATCATCTGCCTCCACCTCAACCTGTCCGCAGCATCCTCTTCTGTCACTCCAACACTCTACGTGCCCTGCTTCACTACATCCATAAATCTTCTTTTGGAAATCTCATTCATTGTGATCCACATGTTTTATTATTGCCAGGATTTTACACCAGATGGCCTTTTTCTTGATGCAACCCTTCCCATTTATCTGGGATTGGGACTGGCATTAGGGGTAACTGGCTTGTGACCGCTCCGGTTGCTGGGTTAAAGCAGTGTGCAGCAGTTATTTTAAAAGAATGCACCCCTACAAAGGGTAGCTATTGCTACTTCTGAAACAATTATTGTGGTGTTGAAGTCTTAAAATAGCATATACCCTTTCATTGAGAAGGTTTTTTTTTGTTATGTTGAATTGTTCTAAATCAATGATAGAAATGCTATTATTCCCATTCTCAGGCTGCTCTGGAGTCATTTTAATCCAGAAAGTCACTAAGCACAGCCAGTGGATTTATCATCTTGGGACAACCACTCAACCTGTTTCTGTGTTTTCAGCCTTAGCACTAAGTTAATCTGACAGCCAGTGATTGCTACACATTTACAAGAGCGGCATTGATCAGCTCAACAAACTCTAAACTTCAAATGGCAAAATATTCTGACGAGAATACAAACTACTTAAAATGTAAAAAGAAAAATCAATGAATTCTTCTTTGCACTAAAAGTACACATCGACTTTTATGTGAAGCTTGAAGATGAGTCAAAATGCAGCGCATTTACTTCAATGTATGTCGATTTACCGCAAACTAGCCAGTGCGCAGTGTGCCTGGAGACCCCAAAGGTTTGGAGCCTACTTGATAGCCCACCACCTCATGTTGCTGCTACTGTTGTTTCCCCACAAAGTCATTCGTTTAGTTTGACTTCAAACTGTTGTGGTTTCCTTGCAAAATATCCTATGTCGCTAACCTCGCTGCCTCATTCAAAGAGTAATGTACAGTGTGCTTGTGGTACTTACAGTGACTCAGCTCTCACACTTTGCAGCTTTATCTTCATCTCCTACACATTTGGGTTTTGATATTCCTGTAATAGGTGTTGGGACTTCTGAAATGTTTGTGACATTCAGTGCCAAGTTTGCACTGAGAATCTATAAAATTACTAGATTATCCTAGGGGGACATCTAGTGTCAGCTGTCATGACTTATAGGACTATTTATTGTACATTTGTTCACATTACGTTCACTGTAGGCACAGGTGACGCAACAAGCAGGAGAATAACTAAGCAGATGAGAGAAGTGAAAATTCAGGCTGCCTTGGGAAACTTGAGCTGCTCCTGTGTTAGAGCACGCTCTGCATCTCTGACATGACATGACCTGGCATGCCCCAACATGATAAACATTGTGGTTTTCATGAAGTTTCAATGTTTTGGTATATGTCCCAAGTAAAACACCTGCTTAGCATAAACGAAACAGGTGTCCTATATCATCTGACTTGTTGCACACACAAACACGGAAGATGCTGGATGTGACAGCAAGATGAGAAGGCAGCTGACGGTGAACACCTGCCTGTGGGAAAGGGGGGGACCTGCCACATGGTTTCACAATGAAGCGTCCGCCCTTGTGGGTACAGAAAGCACAACAAAACCAGACCAATCAAGGGTTTAAGACGACGCACTTGTAGACATTGTACCACCACTGCCAGGACTAACAAAGATGAGGTAAATGTCAAGTGATAACTATAAGTAACAGTGGTGAAAGATGATCTGTAACAGAAGCATATGTGCACATGGGGAAATCCATAACCAAAAGAACTGCGGCGACACGCATCAGATTCAGAGGGATGAGGGCTTTTTTTCTTTTTTGGACAAGCTGGGTATTTCGAGTTCAGCTCTCAGAAGGATGAGAAAAGCTCATGAAGAGCAGTGCGATCATCAGAAGCCTACACACATCCTTTTACATCCCCCACCCTGGAACATTTCTTCTGAAAGAAAAAGCAAACAGAGATTAAATGCTTTCTTGCGTGTATATAAGGTGAAAAGTTGAAAGCCAAAACACAAGTCAGACATGTCACCTGCTCTTGAAATCTTGACAGCATCGGAGGATCACAGAATAAAGGGGGATGGATGGTACTCACTTCTCACAGATGTGCTAACCACAACTGAAAATACCCCCCCACACACACTTTAATCATTAAAATACCCCCCTCTCTCCCCTCGATGTGTGCAAACTGCACTTGCTCTATAAAACCCAATATCTATTAAAATCTAAGGTCACCATAAGTGAAACCAGCCTTTAATCAAAGCTATGGCACAAAAATCAGACAGCGTGACACAAACTGTTTTTTTTTTTTGACTAATATGGAACTGCTGCATTAAATTTGAACTACATTTAGGACATGAGAGGTGATTCAAATTTGAACAATTCAAAACAATCGTTTACAGAAAGTGAGACGAGGCAACACGAAAAACAAAACTAGTTATAATAAACTGAATGTTGGTGTGTTCCAGATATGACCTGTGACATATTTCAGGTCAAATCTGACTAAAAAAAAATATCCAAACTAGTAAGACTAAAGTGAAAGTCCCTTCCACACATCTGACCACAGGATTTGAACTTTCAAGTACTGAACACAGAGAAGAAAGTTTGCCTGAGAGAAATCGGAATTAAATAGACAATAGTTTATTGTTAAAGATGAACGAACACACACACACACACACACACCTGACCTCTGCATCATGATCCTTCGAGTCGGGCAAGTCAGTAGCTTTCTTATTTGTGACACAATGTGGCAGTTATTCATCTACACACACGCGTACCCCCGGACACAAACACACAGCTTTAACATCATTTAATTTATAATCCACAAATTTATATTCTTTTGTCTCATAATTCTACATCACTAGTTACTTTAGTTATGTACACAGAATTGAGTCAGTTCTCTATTTCTTCGAGTTATTTTTCAATTCGAGGAAAGGGAGAAAAACAAATCAGCTCAAAAAAATAATTTTTTTTTAATTTCCTGTCATTTCTACAGAAAAACATTTTCAGTTTCCTGGACTGTAAACTCCAAGCTGCTTGAACCAACAACAACTCACAACAGGTTCAATTTAACATTCCCTCCTCCTTTCTCGAATATGTTCATCTCCATCCTTTCTCCTTAGCCGACTGTCAAGGAGAAGCGTGACCAGGAGAGAGGATTTGGCACAAGGCATGAGTGTCATCTAAACCAGTAGTAATAGAAGAAGTGGTCCTTACAGCAGATCACATCCTGTAGTGTACAACAGTCCTGAGAGAAAGTTTAAATGGTTAACGGTGACGCAGTTTCAACTCTTTGAATCCCATGATTTTGCACCTTTTAGCGAATCACTCGAGTGCAAGTGTTCAGCATTACAAAGAAGGGAAACGGGGGGAGAAACATTTATTCCACCCTGTCATTTTGCTGTCCCTTCTTTAAACACCAGAGCTGATCTGTTTGGTCACTCGTCTCCCTCCAGGTCCAGGCTGGAAAGTCTTGGCTTTTTTCCCCTCCCTTTCTCCTTTCCTTCCTTTTAAGGATGTGGTAGGTTCATTCGGTCCTCTATTAGGGTGTTATCAGGGCCCTGTGCCTCCATGCACTGCTTTATGGTTGCTATAACTCCAGATAGACGCCTATCCAGGGCTGCAAGGTGTGGTTCAGCTAGGACTGGGTGAATGGGATCAAATGCCAGAGCCTGTCGCATGGCTGAGCTCAGAGCTCCACTTCGCAGCAGGTTTAATCTATTCCACGTGGACACACGAACCCTACCGAGAAAGGGAGAGACACTACAGTAGAAAAAAAAACATAACCTGGTAAACAGGAAATTGTATTTGGCAATTCTCCGACTTACATGCAGCACTGGTAGAGTGGTGCAAGAATGCTTCGCTCGTCCAGAGCTGGGTTCCCGAAGCTGCACGAGGACATAAAAGAAAAATTACGAAAGATTAAAAAAACCCCAACATAAAGCACTTGAAACACACACACACGCACACACACACACACACGCACACACCTCGACTGAATTTGCTAGAATAGCAGTTTCCCTGTTTCTGAAGAGCTCCTGAGGAGTTATTAGATTCTCGGACAATCTAAAACCCGTAAAGCTTTCCAAACTAGAGTCTGGATCTGAGTCCAGCCATGTCCAAAACTAGCATGACCTTCAACAAACAGGAGCTGTATATTTTATATCTTTACATACAGTTAAATCATGTATTACAAGATCTAACTGTGTATCCCATTGTGAAAACTCTCCTGGCAATGTAGCTAAATGCATTCATTCCTATTCACACGACTTTTAAGACTGAGAGTGTCAGGCTCTTAAGCCCTTTTCTAATTAAATTTGATTGTAATACATACAGTAACACAGTAATGTGAAAATAAATGTACACAGTTTTTTCAGTTCCAAGGTTTTATGTACCAGGACATAATAAACAAAATCATCTGGTCTTTAAAAAGTTCTAAAATTAAATAACAAACTCAGATGAACAACAGCACTTGACATATTACACTGTGTCATCATTTATGCAACAAAAACTAAGGCAGAATGCAGAAGAAGTGTGTGTCTTATTGAATTAAGAGAAATTATGAGGGCAAGCAGACTACTAGTCAAATGCACTTAATTAGCTGATCATCAGCGACTGTGAACACCTACAAAAAAAACAAGTTTTTTCGTTTTCAGGTCTGGAGCATTTAGGTGTGTGATGCCAAGGAGGAAAGACATCAAGAATGGTTTTAGGAGAAATTGTTGCTTCCTGACAATCTGGCAAAGGTTTAAGGCCATCTGCAAACAATTTGAAACCCATCATTCTGCATTGAGAAAGATTCATAAGTGGGAAATGTAATTTTTCATTTCAAGTTTATTTATATATCTCCAGTTTGCTACAGCATTTGTCGTGAGGGATTTTACACTGTGAGGTAAAGATGCTACAGTATAAGAGAAAAACCTCAAAAAGGAAAAACTCCACTTTAACAGGAAGAAACCTCCAGCAGAACCAGGCTCAGGGAGAAGCTACCATCTGCTGCAACTGGTTGCGGCCGATCATTGGAAAGAAAGATCACAGGGAACCAGGACAAAATACTAAACAAAATATGTGTTTCAGAAACAGGGGTGGGCGTCGCAGCAAACTGCAAACAACACAAGTGTTACATCTCATAATCTACAGGCCTCAATTAGTGTGTTACATGTAAATGTAACTTAATGAGATATTTACCCATAATGCACAAAACCACGTTTGTTAAAAATCAAGCATAGCATATGAGAACAAACACCTCATAGCAACTGACAGCACAGTGTTGGAGGGGTAATGACAGGAAATGGGGAACTAGCAGTAACTGGTATACAAAGGAGTTCATGCTTGACTCAAAGTATTGTAGAGTCAAAGGTGAAGCCATCCGTCCAACAGCTAACGCTTGGCCTAAACTGGGTCATGCAACACAATGAGCAGAACAGCAGCAACTCTACAACACAATGGCCGAAAATTCAAAGAATCAGAGTGTTGCAGTAACCAAAAAATCCAGACCTCTAACTGAAAGGCCAGTTGGGCCATAAATGAATGCATTTAAACCTCAATAAACTCAGTCAATGTGGTAAGCGAGTGGGCTCAAATTCCTGCACGATGAGGTGAGAGGCTGATAAAGTCATATAGAAAACTACTTGCCGTTAGAAGTGGTTCTACCAGCTAATGAATGATGGCGTGCACAGAGTTTTTTAAACATGGTTTCTGGACTTTAGCTTAGCTTTTGTGAAATAATTAAATAAATAAATAGATAAATAAATAAATGAATGAATGAATAAATGAAAAAATAAATGGCACGCGGTAATATGCCATGTGTTGTTGAAAGAAGGTGTAGTTTGTTTTGATCATGTTGGTAAGAACTTAAATGAATTCCACACTTAGCCTTACCAATGCTAGTCAGCTATATGACAGAGAGCAAGAATCCATTGCTTCCAGCTTAATCTGAAAGAGTTCTAATAAAAATCCAAGAATTGGGCCATTATTGGCCTGCAAAGAGTACCAGCTGCAGGGTATTTTCACTGCATAGAAAATATAGATTATACTCTTCATTAAAAAAAGGAAAGACAAGAAATTACTCAGCACTTCTATTGGTATACATTATTCCCAGTAAAAGGTTTGTTTCTTACCACACTTAACCTCATCCTGCCAATACTGAAAAATGCTGCTTAGAAATTTTCCACTGCTGGGTTTTGATCAGCAAAAACAAAAATAACTTCAAAGACGGGTTAACATCTCAAAGTCCTCACTTCATGGAAGTGGGTGTTCTTCATGAGTCAGTTATAAAGTAGCTTCAATAGTGATAAGTGAATTCTTGTAATAAAAAAAGAAATAAAATAAAAGACGAGCACCGGAAAATGTAAAACAAAAAAAAAACAAAAAAAAAAAACAACAACCTGAAAATGAAAATATAATTATTAGTCTGAAAAATATTCAGACTATTGTTATGAACAGAGTGCAGAATTTTCCAGTAAGTCCGTGACACTGATTTATTTCAAAAGTTATTGTTTCTGACAGAATTAGCTGCAATTACACAAGATTTCTGGTTAAACTTGCAGTTTTTCTTTACTGGATGGACAGTATTCCCACTTAAGTTTGGAAATGGTTAAGTAATTAAAGCCAGTAAGAAAAAGTAAACATTCATCTGAGGAGGGAAAGTCCCATTTTGGATTCCCGTTTTCATGAAGAGCACCCCCCCTCCCCCCACCCAACTATCAAAAACAAAAAAAACCACGAAACCCACAGCTCACCTCTTGGCGTTGTCAAGAAGGATAAGCATGCTGGCACCTCCATCATCCTGGAAACTTTCGTAGTGATGACGATCAGCATTTCCAATAAGGTAATCAAAAATCGCCGTGTCAATAACATCTAGCAGCCTTGGCCCTGCATCATATGGGGGCATCTTCTTCACTGCCTCACAGTAGCTCTCGTCATACTCCCACCTGAAAAATAAACACACGTTCAAATCGTCTGAAGTAAGATTTTCGCACATCACCATATTGTCAAACAGGGAGTGTGCATAACCACGCCCCTCACACAGGAAAAGAAAAGAAAAACCACTTCAGGTCATTTCAGGGTTTTAGAAAGCAGGTAAAATGTAGCCAGAATTATTAAAAAGTGAAAAGATCCTAAAAATAAGACCAGGTTGCTTCTCTTACTGCTGTTAATTTGCTCACTAATACAGCATCGCAGCGCCAGACGTTCTCTGGTAAAGTGAAACATTTAACAACACTTACACTTAAGAAGATGCACGTGTCAAAGTGTAGAGTTAATTTGCTGAAATGCAATCAAACTTCTGGTATTGATGGCAACACAATCCCTTATTTTCAGTGGCCTTCACACAATATTTTGAGACCAGTGAGAATAGAATAGAATAGAATAATCCTTTAATTGTCCCACAAGGGGAAATTTGGTTGTAACAGCAGCCAAAAAGACACATATACAAACAAAGTACACAGGACACGGAACGGAAACATACACAACTTTTCTTACATATTTACATTAAGGACAATGGTTACAAGTGACCTATCATAATGAAAGCCAACTCCCTTGTTTTGGTTCCCTTTGGTCAATGACTCTCAAAATGTGGGGATGCCCCCATGAGTGGAGCAAAAACGACTCATGGGGGCACAGATGACCATGGTGGGAAAAAAGGAGAGTGAAACCAAACTTTATAATTTCCTTCAATATACGACAGTCATGTGTTGTTACTGGCATGTGGAACTTTATTTCACTAAAAGTTCCACATGCCAAAAGTTCCACATCCAAGTTGGATCCTCTTTTATTGTTAATAATTGACAAAAAAGGGCAGTTCAATCTATTTTGTTTCATGGTAAGATACAGTAGTTGAAGTGGAGAGATTTCTAGCAAGTCTGTAGCACTGATTTAATTTTCAGGTTAATGTTTCCATCAGAATTTGTTGCAAATTTCATACAACTGCAAGTTAAACTGAAAAACTGAAAACGGTTCCCCACTTCAATCTGGAAAACCCCACTGGTGTGGAATAAAGCTGCTGCAGGTGGGACATGAGTGACCACTGGGTGGAAAAACTGACAACTGACAACAAACTGACAAACTAAGTCAAATGAATATGATTTTTCTTTTGAAAGTGCAACTAAACAGTTTTCAAATGTAATCATTCTGAACTTTACATCACTAGAACTCAACTAGCATTTTTTATTTTTGGGGGATAATGATAAAATGTGGTTGGGATCCAATGGATGGCATGCCAGAAGAAGTTTGAGGACCATTCTTCCCATTTGACATCGCATTGTCAATATTACAGTAATAGAATAAACTGAGATAAACTGAAACAGGAGGAATAATGGGTCTAACTTGAATTTAGTAACAAAACACAGACACAGTGCAGTGTAAAATTCTGGAGTGAACCCTCATTTCTTTTTACTTGAATTTGAAAAGGCTACAAACTACAAGCTGAACGACTGTTGTGTCCACGCTGCACAGAAGACAACTTAGAATATCAAACTGGTTCTTTGCTATTTTTAGGCACTTTGTTGCTAGCAGCCTGTCATGTCTTTCCGAGCAGACATATACAATCATATTTTAATCCACCACGCAATACTCTCTGGAATGTGTCTGTCTGGCAAAAGCTATGCAAAAATAATCATCTTGAAAGAGAACAGAACAAATAGCATCAAACGTCCAAAGAATAGCTTTCAATGTCCTTCAAGAAGCCTGGAGAACTATTCATGAAGACTGCTTAAAGAAACTGACTTTCAAGGTCATTAGAACTGTACAAATTGTGTGTGTGTGTGTGTGTGTGTGTGTTTGTGCACACGCACAAAAGCTCAAGACTTTTGCACATGAGTATAAGGCTGCTAAGTGTGAAGAACAGATCACATAGCTACTCTTCTGATCCAGCTGTATGGTGATCTAACGGCAGGATGACACTGATCAGTTGTGTTTAGCATCATAATTAGCTTGCTGATGTAATCTTCTCTGACTGTAGAAATCCTGTGTGCTGTATTTAGAGTTAATAAACATTTATGAGCAATAAGAATACTTACTTATCAACTAGTATAATTTTCCCCTACAGTTCTCCATACAGAGGTTCAAAAATACCAAGTGCTTTCATTGCCAGTTGAAGCTTGTTCACTCATTTTTTCACACCAGATTAAGTACACCAAAGCTCTGGAGTTGAGCTTGTTTTTGGTATCATTTTGCTGGGTGAAGGGCCAAAAAGAGATAAGCAAAATGTGAAGGAGGCCATCATTAGGTTGAAAAGGTAAAATAAATTTCTGTCTATTCTAGAGCAAAAATGTGCAAGTTTACAAACAATGATCATAAACAAGTGATTAATGAAAGCACTGCTCACCAACACCAAAAAGCCTTAGAAAACACAGAAAACAACTAAAATGTACAACTGCAGAATTTTTTCCTTTTGTTAAGAAAACCCCCCAGTCAAGAACACTCTCGAGGAGGCAGGCGTATCATTGTTAAAATCTTCAATCAAGAGATGCTTTCATGAATGGAAACACCGAGGGTTTACGAGAAAGTGTAAACAACTCTACATTTTGCCAGCACAGCTCTGAAAAAAATAAAAAAAATAAATATAAAACATTTTAAAAACAATCTTTGGATAGATGAAACCAAGTTTAACTTGTAACAGAAAAATTGGAAGATAAAAGTATGGAGAAGGAAAAGAACAGCTCATGATACAAAACTATCACATCATCTGTCGAACATGGTGGAGGCATGTGATGGTATGGGCATGCGTGACCCCTAGTGTTAATTGATGATGTGACTGCTGAGAGCAATAGCAGGATACATTTGGAAGTGTGCAAAGCTATACTCTCTGCCCAGAGTCAGCTAATTGTTCCAAAACTAGTTAAATAACACGTCCCAGGACAAACAAATAATGACGCAAACATACTGGAAAAGCAGAGTTTATCAAATCAAAGAAATTTGATATTCCTCAATGGCCAAATCTGTCACCTGATTTCATGCAACACATCATGCTTTTTAGTAACTGAAGACATAATTTAAGGCAGATAGACTCACAAACAAGCAGCAACTGAACATTTTACTATTTAATATGTTGGCAGCAACAACAACATCAAAACACAAGAATGAATTCAAGTCAGAGGATTTCCCCTAACTGTAAAAACCGCTGCTTTTTGGGACTCACGCTTGACACCCACCTTGCCAGTTTCCCCTCTCTGTATGTGCGTCCCCAAGGGTGTCTGTGTTTCTGCAGTGGCCAGACATCTGGCAGCCAAAGGGTTAATGACCCCTCCATGATTTCCCCCTCTGCACATGCTGGCTCACTCTCCCGACAGTAGTAACACTTCCCATAGAAACATGTATTATTGCCTGGGGACACAGGGAAAAAAATTGAATCGATAAAAACAAATCAGCTTGGCATCAGTGACACAAGAGATGCAAACAAAGAGGTAAAAACTAGCACAATGGTGGAAGGAGGGTGGGTGGGGGACAAAATGCTTAGGTTAATTGGGTTAGTTCTTATGAAGTGTGAGCACGCACACACACAGATTAATCAAACAACCTTATCCTGTGCTTTCAGATACAAAGACCTCAGTGACATTTGACAAAGCAGTTTTGCTTAGGACCAAACCATCAAAACATCCCTGAAACTGCAGCGCTAGCACCTTCAGGCACTAAAATAAACCATGAACAAGTGAAACAGGGTTTCGCTGCTAAGATCTCATACAGATCATGACCCTAAAGTTCCAAATACAACGATGAGACCAAACACTTTCTGTTTTTACTGGAAAAAGATGCGCTGAAGTGCAGTCTCACCTTGAATTCAGCAGTTATAACAAAAGTATTGCTTTAGAATTTTTAAAATTAACTGGATAGACAAACATTATTTTTATATAAAGATTGTTTTTATTATTTGGAGAAAAAAATCCATTGCAGTCAGTGTCTATCTTAAGTCTAAAACCCATGGACATCAACAAATGCTGTTTCTCATGCCTTGAGATGCTCAGTGAAGTTTTTACTGCAGTTTCCTTCAGATGCTGCTGGTTGTTGGTCTCTCTGGATTTGTCTTCATCAACTGAAAAGCATGCACTATTGGGGTGGTATCAAGTGACTAATCTGACCATTGCACATGATCCCGTTTCTTTTTCATAAACTGTTGGGTTGCTCTGTTTAGTTTTGTAGCATTTATCTGGATCTGAGCAGAGAGTATAAACCTGTATACTTCAAATGTCATCTTACTGCTTCTATCACCATCCTCATGAAGAAAGATTTGTTGTCTGGATCCATACATGCAAACATGCGTGCTCTTTCTGTAACATTGCTATGTTTGACGATACTTTCAATTATTTGAAGATTTACCTGAAGGCAGAGAGATCCACAAACAAGCAGATAGATCTTTTCAGATGTTTTCTGGCCAAGTTTAATCTGATCTGTCCTTCTTTTTATTGAGTATCAAAGGAGATTTTTCTTAACCAAGGAAATCATGTCCTTATCCGCTTCAATTGTCTTCTGTGGTTTTTGAGCCTTTCGGTAGTTGCTAGCTGGCTAGTACATTCATTCTTTTTAAGAACATAGGAATGGCCAAATCAACAATCAGTTAACATTTTTTGATATCTTCATGATAGCAGAAATTTCGTTGGGCTGCAGACAATCCCAGAAAGAAAGATACCAAATGCCAATTCAACAACAACTACTAGAATCAACTCCAGACCTTTTATCAGTCACATTTGTAGTAAATCTCACATGGCCATGAAACGTTTTTTCAGTCAACGGTCAAATTACTTTTAAGCCTCTGAAAATGGGGACCTGAGCAGTTAATGCAGTACTTTGTTAACTGCTTGAATTAAAGTAAAAAATAAAACAAAAACACATCTTGTTATCTTTTTCTGATCCTGGTCCTGCCGGAGGTTTCTTCCTGTTAAAAAGGAGGGTTTTTTCCCCTACTGTCGAACCTCTGTTTTCTTTGTATTATTGGTGGGTCTTTACCTTACAAAATACAGGCAACAGTTGTTGTGACTTGGCACTATATAAATAAAAATGAAAATTGAATATATCATGAATGTAAACATAGGAAGCCTGCAAGCCAGAAAAGGCTTACTACCTCAACCCACTGGATGGCTCTGCATAATGAAAAAAACTAACAGAATAAACATCATGTTACCACCAAGGAGGTGTACTGATGTCTTTCTTTGTGATGACAGTATACTGAATGAATGTAGAAAGAAAATTACAGGCATGTTCTGTAAAATCTCTTAACCTGTTCTTACCCATTTTATAAACAGACAATTCAATAAATGTATATGATTTCATAATATAGCTGTGCTTTTTTCAGTACCAAAAAAAACAAACAAAATGTGTTGTTCTTTTTCTAACTTCGCTCAGTATTTCACTATGGGAATCGCCTCGGCGTGACCAACTACGGAAGCTCCAATGACACCACGTCTGTCTATGACAGACCTGTCGAGCCGTGCTCAGGGCTCCACCCCCTCATCCCCTCCTCCTAACTCATTCTCGCTTTCTTCCCGTGAGAAACTACTTTGAGCTCCCTCATCGCATCCAGGCTAACTTGATTAGCTGCTTAACAGTTCTCAAGCGTCCCGTGTAGGAGTACGTTGCCGAACGCAGTTTTTCCAGTTCCAGTTTGGATCGTGCTGAGTAAGTCCTTCGAAAGAAGTGTACTTAGAGTTGCACTGTGGAACAGCAACCGCGTCAGGCGAGCTGTCCCAGCGGTTCCTGGTTTTAGTTAGCGAGGTAGCCGACGTTGTGTGACTCGGGCTAACGCGTTACGGCGAGCTGTTCGTTCAGTGTCCGGCTAGCATTAACTTGTTAGCAGGCCACGAACCACATTAGCGTCTCACTAGCATTAGCTTGTTGGTCGACCTAGGGTTCGGTTAGCATTAAGTTACTAACGGAAAAAAGTTGCATTTGAAGTTGCACCCCCGGTGGACAGGAATTTGTACGAGGTCTGCAAATGGGCTGCTGCCAAGCTAGGCATCCCATGGCCAGCCGCCCAGGATTCCGAAGGGGCAGAACGCGACATGTATGACGGCAAAAGGCTCCCACCAGCCTTGCCACCACCGAAGCAGCTTCTGCCAGCAGTCCCGGCCTGCATGAAAGAAATGAGTCGCTATTGGTCAAGCCCTTTTAAAAGCAAGCTTCCGACCAAGGGCTGCTCTAAGCTTGAGATCCAGGGGATGGGTGAACTGGGGCTGACCGAACCCCCAGCAGTGGAGCCTTCAGTGGCGTATCACCTTCACCCTAACCGCAGGGCAATCTCAGCTTCTTCTAGCATTTCTTTGCCCAACAAGATAGATCGCCTCACGGCATCTATTTATCAAAGGACGTACAAATATGCTGCACAGTCAGTATGCTCGCTTAATGCAGTCACACTGCTATCAGCATATCAGGCAGAAATTCTGGAAGACATGGGCCGTCAGCTTGACTCGGGTTCCCCGAACCCAGCCCTCTGGGATGAAATCTGCGTGGTTAATGATCTCATTCGCAGGGTGTGGCCGTGTTATGGGCCTTGCAGTCTTGGGTGAGAGAGCCTTGTGGCTAAACCTGTCAGGCCTAGGTGATGCTCAGAAGGCTGAGGTCATGGATGCAGCTTATGACCCAACCAAGGGTCTCTTTGGCCCAGCCCTGGAGAGAATGAGAGAAACAAGCACTCGCAGAAAGCAGGAGGGAGAAGCATTCAACCTCTGCTTACCCAGAAAACCTAACTCTCAGCCCCAGCAGGTGCCAAGAGCTGGCTTTGCAGCAACAGCTGTGAGAGGGAGACAGAGTGGGGTCAGAACGCAGAGAGGAGCAGGAGACCAGCAGGGTGCCCACCAGGCCATGGTAGAGAACCAAAGACTTTGGGGCAAGCATTCCTTTGCAGCAGCTGCTGCAAAGAACAAGCCGTCACACCCCGGAGAGGGGAAAAAGAAGCGGTCAGCCTAGCACATCTGCAACATTCTGTGTCACCCCTCTCTTCTCACCAAAGAGAAGGAAGGTGTTAGAAGGGGTAACCAAATCACTCCAAGGTTCAGGGTCTCTGGAAGTTTCCAGTTCACCAGGAGCACCCTCTCAGTCTCCTCCTCCAGTTCAGGAAGGACAGACTTGTGGACAAATGGCGCAGCGTCACCAAGCACTCCTAAGCACTCTGTCTGTGTTACCAAGCACTGCCCAGAGTCACCAGACACTTCACTGTGGTTTGGGGGTAACAAAAGAAATAAAACGCGCATTTCTGCAGCCAGGCAGTTTGCCAAGGGCAGAATGTTCCCCCAGTTTCAAAATAAAAACAAAAGGAAATCACTGCCATTTGTCTTTGTTCCCAGCAGGGGGAGCTCACGCTCTTCCCGACGGGGAGAGCCCCAACTCCTTCCGGGAAACAGGGGTGACGTCACGCTTCCGCATCTTCAGAGGCCCGCTCGCGGCGCGGCTGGAGTGGTGGCACGCATGCGTGGTTCATCCCTGGGTCTTGTCAACCATTTCCCATGGTTACAGACTACAGTTTGCGGTAAAACCACCGAGATTCGGCGGAGTGTTAGCTTCTGTGGCCAGTGGCGATTCAGCAAATGTGCTGGAGGAGGAAATATCCTCCCTGTTACACAAACAGGCGATCAGAGCGGTTCCGAGTGAAGAAGCTCAGCAGGGCTTTTACTTATACTATTTCCTCATCCCGAAAAAGGATGGAACGTCGCTCCATCCTATTCTGGATCTGCGTGTGTTAAACAAGCATTTGAGAAAGTACACATTCAGAATGCTCACACACAAGACGCATAGTCGCTCAACTCACACAGGCGATTGGTTTGTTACAATCGACCTATCAGACGCATATTTCCACATCGCCATTTATCCTCCACACAGGAAATATCTCAGGTTCACTTATCAGAGTGTAGCGTACGAGTTTTAAACTATCCCATTCAGGCTATCCTTAGCCCCAAGGGTGTTCAGCAAATGTGTGGAGGCAGCGCTGTCTCCGTTAAGGAACAGCGGCATCAGAATATTCTCTTACACAGACGATTATCTAATATGCTCATGATCGCGCGATCAAAGACTCCGAGGTGGTAGTGAATCACCTCACGGAGCTTGGGTTCACAATCAACCTGGAAAAGAGCCACTTGGAACCCGCACAGTTTACAGAGTATCTGGGGCTCAGAATAGACTCCATCTCTTATCGTATCGCACTTTCAGAGCGGAGGATCGCATCCTTCACTCACTGTCTTTCCCGTTTTCAGCTGGGGAAAGTCGTGCGGTTCCGACTCTGTCTCCGCCTCCTCGGCCTCATGGCCTCGGTGATATCGGTGGTACACTTGGGGCTGCTTATGATGAGAGATTTTCAGCGATGGGTCGCTTCTCTGCAGCTGCGCCCTCGAGAACATCTC